TACGCCCTCTAACCCAGTTAACATGCCTTGAACATAAAGTTAATACGGCTCGAGATATAAAGTCGTCGAGAGGCCTTGTCAGATTGGTTTTCGTTATCCTGGGATGCCTTTATCAACGAACAAGCCTGCTTTGAGTGGTGAAGAACGGGCTTGGAGTTTTGAAACCCGCGCAGTCTCCTTTTTACGGTTGCAGGCGTAGTGTCGATGTCTGTAAGTTCCTCCAAAAGCCATGATCGGTTGGTATGACCGTTAATACAATGGGATCTGTTACGGGTGATAAATAACAATGATGGTAGTGTCTGCCTTGGGCACTAGGGGACTTTGCTCATGATGGTATAATGTAGCATCTCTCAAACAATTTCCTTGCTCGACCATGTCAATTTTCTGCTTTTACAGCAAGTGACATCCACCCATGCAGATCAATCCATGTTCTCCCAGATCTGAATTACCACCTCCCAGGTCCAACTTGGTATAAACTTCCCACCTATGTACAAGGTCCAGGTCAGTAATCAACCTGAACCAACGATACCAACCTGGTTTTTTTTTTCTTTTTTCTTTTTTTGGTTTTTTTGACTGTCCCGTGTCTACCACCACAAGGTGCTATGGCTGAAACGCTGGGGATCGGTGGGTTTGGGTTTCGTTCCCCCAAGCCGTGCCGTCTCTTGTTACACTGCTGCGTCCACTAGGAAGTGAACTGGGGCTGCTGGGTGGAAATATATCATCAGACCGAGGCTTCGAAAGAAGGAGCAAGCTTTTCGTGTTATTTAGTATTGATGGTGCCTCTTCCGAGATTTCAGCCCGAAAAGAAGAAAAAAAGGTTGAGATGAACAGGTATCCAGATCCTGCATGAGTTTAGATATGGGAGAGTTGCTTGATTGGGATGGTTCTGCATGTGCATATGTGTGTGCATATATGTGTGCATTGTTGATGGGGAACCGTCAAAGTTCAGGAGAGGCCGGGATTGGTGTATGGCCTTGACATTATGATCTTGGACGATGGGCTCAACATTGGGCATCGGAGCTGCCGGCAGCTTCACCATCATCATCAAGGTTGTATGTAGTTGAGAGTTCGAGGTTGTTAAAGCAACTGGGCAGCAAAGCAGCAGGGCAATAATGCACCTTGATGGGGCCAAGAATGAGGGTTTTGGGTGTGAGTGGGTGGGAGAACCCTGGGTTGGTTTATGAACCCCTCCCCCCACCTCACACGCTGACCCCTGAATACCTGATGATGCTGCTCGAGAAGATACCCGAGCGTATCGGGAACACGATCTCAACAACAACGAGTTACAAGGTATATCTCGTGTTTCCAACGCGCGAGCGATTTGGGGAGCTGCCGTCAGCCTTTTACCTCATGTCGTGTACTGTACCAGAAACAAAAGACATGGCAAAAAAAAAAGTCTCCGTCGACGACGCCGGCTCCCGACGGGCGTCTGGCGTCAAGTTTGTTGGGCTTGGGTGTTTTTTTATTAATGAATAAGGGGGGGCAAAAGATGGAGGATGGGGGGCAGGGAGGAGGGGGGCGCTTGCAAGGATATCGGCAGCAAAAGTTGCCCGTCGAGGATTGCCTATCAACAGGCGCAAAAGAAGACGATCTCGATTTTACCGCCGCTTCCTGCCGCTGAAGCTGAGAGGACAGATAGAGAGGTGATTCCTGCTGCTTCCCCTGCATGATAATTGATCGTGTTTTCACCGTGTATGCGTAACTGTTGCTTGTCATAGTCAGAAGAAAAAGGCCATGATCAAGATGCCATGTGGCAGAGAGACTTCTGTATCTAGTTCTCTGGGCCTGTCCTACCTCGCACGGCGTTATCGAAGGTGCCTGGAGGCTGCCATCACTGCAGACGCCTCTCCCCACGGGTGGAAGTGAGGTGTGGTGCGGCCAAAAGGGGGGGCCACCACACCATATACTACTGCGTGATATAGGGAATTTGACTCTGTGGTTGTTGTTTCCCATGGATATATATTATATATATATATATATATAAAACAATGAATATCACAGCTGAACAACGCCCATGATGCCGTGTCATAATAAATGGCGTAGATACCTAACGTGATATATACTCCGTAATAATGATCAAAGGGTTCTGTCGGATCTGCTCGGCTGTGGTGGTGCATCGATCGACAATCAACGGTCCCCTTTGGGAACCCTGGAAAAAAGACCCCTTCCACTCCGTTCCCCAGATCAGACCCCCAGGTCCGGTGGAGGTGTGCCTCGTGTTGGAATGCGCCTGAAGTCGAAAAAAGAGTGAGATCCAGAGGTTGCCTGCAGGTCAATCTCTCTCCACGTTACGCCAAAGAAGACGCGTTTGCTTCAAGCAACAAGAGAACAGAAAGGAAAAAAGAAAAAAAAAAGCAATAAAAAAGCAAGAAAAAAGTCCAACGTCTCTCTCGCTCGCTCGCTCATCTTTCCCGACCAGGGCTTGTCCATCGTGTTTTAGCGTCAGGGGGTTCTACGAATAGCATCGCTAGCTTCCGCGATGGTCCAGTTCAGTTTCGACCGCGGCTGGACAGGCCACTACCCCCCGCTCGTACATGTGGGAATCTGGAAACGGTTTTTGGTTTCTGACTGGGACGAGAGAGAGTCTGGACTTGTCTAGTATCGTCGTTGATCATGGATGCGATGTGTGTCGTGATTGAGAGGGGGAAGTTCAGTTAGGTACCTAAAGGACAGGGGCCCTGCCAGAAATGGGGGGTGGGCAGCTGGGGGGGCACGCAGGGGTTTTCGGTGCGGCACCTCCTGCAGCCAGCGACAAGGGTCAGCTTTTTAGGCCTAAATGCAGATGCACGTCCTGGGACGTCCATCCACCTCCATCCCCCTGGGGGCAGGCAAATCCCCAGAAATAAGAAAAATATTCCTACCTGTTGCCCTTCCAAAACAACGGGCAACCTCCATCCCGAAGCAAAGAACAGCTCCAGACGCGCCCTGTTTCTGTCCTTTCACTCTATTTGACCGTCCCATCCCATCCAAATCCCGCCGGGCTCTTTCTGCCCACCTCCACCCCCGACCGCCTTCGATAACGGTGGTGCATCTGCTACCTACCAGGTATCTCGTGAGGTGCCCAACACCCAGTCGACGACATCCAAGCTCTGGTAGACTTGGGAAAAAGGCAGTGTGTTCAGGGGGCGGGGGCCGCTCTTGTCTCTGCCCACCATCTATCTCACCGCGGGACCCAGGTGCCAACTTGAAGTGTAGACGAACCAAAGTCGCGCTCACCGACACCAACACCCACACCGATCACCCGCATCCACCGCACCCATCCATACCCACCTCGCGCCTGGCGATCAACTGCGACTGACTGCCTGCCCTTTGTTCCACCCGCAGGGTGCCGATAACGAACCGATACACCACAAGAACAAGACCGAGAACAAGAACAAGAACAAGAACAAGAACAAGAAAAGAGTCACCGCGTGGCTGTGATATGCCATGGACGGCAACAATACTTCGGCTCCCCTTGCCGACTACTTCTGGATTGCAGGCATAGAAGACGTTAGATACGACGATGAACCAGCCTCCCAGTTGGACGTCGAGGACACCATCGTCGAGGACGAGGATGGAGAGGCGGAGACCGACCGGTCGGTAGCGACGCCGTCGCGCGCCACGGCTCGTCACTCGCGCCAGAACTCGGCTAACCGTTTGTCCGTCATGTCTAAGCTCTCCCTATCCGGTAGCGAAGAACCATCTCAGGATGACGTCGAGGAGAAGGACATTACCAAAAGTAACCGTAGCAGCGCAACCATCCGGCCGAACCCCCCGCCCAGCCTCAACACCGGCCTTGCCAACGGCACCAACGCCACCAACGCCACCAACGGCTTTGATCTGGGAAGCTTGGGCGGAGGACAAGGCATTGGATTCGATGGATTCCCCGCCGACTTTGACTTTGACAAGGCCCTCCTCAAGTTTGCCGCCGAACGCGAGAACTTCCTCGACGACCTGACCTTCAGCGCAGGCGCAAGGGTCCAGTCGAGACCGCCCATGGTAAACCCCAGGACCGAGAGACTCAAGGCCGAGGACGCCGAGAGCGGGAGAAAGAGCCCTCTGAAGAGCATCCGCGGCAGCATTCGCCGCAAGATGAGTTTTAGGGATATGAGCAGCGTGAGAAAGCAGCCAATGACTCCTCGAGCGGGTACGTGTAGCAGATCGGCATCGACAGACTCTCTCGCTGCCTTGGAATCCCTGCCATCTGCGGTTCGTGTGCTGACTGTAGGATCTCTAGCCTCTATCCGGACGGCGAAGCGCCTGAGCAACTACAACTCCGTCATCCCACCCCCGGAACCGCTGAACCTCGATCCAGACATGCACCCGCTTAAGAGGCGGTTTGAGCCAGTTCTGCTTGATCGATACCCCCCGCGAGACGCCTCGGCCGACGACCTGGCCAGGAGAGGAAAGTTCCCCGACTACGTGCCCATGTTTGCCTTTCCCAACGACATCCAGATTGTCTCCTCGGACGACCGGCCTCGCTCGACCTGGCACGGATTCACCATGACGTCGGACGACAACTCCAAGATTTACGGCATTACCATCATTGTCTGGGTGGCACTGCACGCAGAGGTGGCGGACGAGGTCGAGAAGAGGTGCGAGCGGTGGCGACAAAGACACATGAGCAACGAGGAAAGGGAGCTCGCTGCTAGTCTTGGCGGCCGTCTAGCCGCAGAGCGGGCCTATCTGTCACAGCTGCTCGCGAAGCTGGGTACCGTCCCCTCGGGATCAGCCGCCCGCGAGTCTCTGGACGAGCAGATTAGCGCGGTGGAGGAAAAGATCGCGCTCATGACGGAGATGCTGAGGCCGTTGAGGCATGGCGCGGCGTCCAAGATTGACGGTCTGACCGCCGGCGAGACGGGCCTCTGGGCTCCTAGGGCGTTTGGCATTTTGGGTAGAGATCCAGCCAAGATGCAGTTTTGGAAAGAATGGTTGCGAGCTGTCACGGTACCCATGACAGACGGCGCCGTTCTCCGGATCCCGCCGAGCTCGCCCAAGGTTGGACGCTGGCAGCCTTTGGAGCGCTATGTCGTGAACCTCTGCACCGAAGCTTTTAGCCCCCTCAGTTCTCTGACCCAGGTGGAGTTGGGCGTGCGAGAGCTGCGGCTGTATGCCCGCAAGGAGGCTGCCAATGAGCTTCCTGGATCGCGCAGCATTGATATCTACGCCCTGTTCAGATGCCTGTCTCTGGAAAACATCGTCCTGCTCTTCGAGTATGCCATGTCGGAAGGACGCATCATCTTCCTCTCATCACACACTGGCATGCTGCACCTTGCCTGCCATGCGCTGGCCAATTTGCTGTACCCCTTGAAATGGGCGAGCATCTTTATTCCGGTCTTGCCTGCCCGACTCATCTCGGCCCTGGAAGCCCCTTGCCCCTATATTGTTGGTATTGAGAGACGCTACGAGAAGATTGAGCTTCCCGACGACGACTACGTCCTTGTGGACCTCGACAAAGACAGCATCGACGCCACACACCAAGCGGCCAGCCTGCCACGGCAGCACCGACGAAAGCTTCTCTCGCTCCTTCAGATCGCCGCTCCTCACAGACTGAGATATGGAGTCACACCGGGACCACCCCCATATGCAATCGAGGCCTTCCCATACGACGCGTACTCGGCAGAAAACGAGACGCTGTTCAACCCCCTCCCGATGAAGAGCTCACTGGGCAAGTGGGTGTCGCAAAACTCATCCACCTTTGCCGAGCCAGACCCGCCAGAGTGCATCCGGACGCCGTTGTTCAACGCTTTTGCCCAGGCCAAGCTTGACCCTTCCAGGATGGAGCGGCCGCCGACGTCCAAGTCCAGCAAGGGCAGCCCGCCGTCGTCTGTCTCGCCCGTGTCGATGAACTTTCCCCCCATGCCCATCACTCCCATCTCCAGGAGCGATTCCGGGTTTGCGGCTACGCTGAGGGAGAAGCGCTCTGGGCATTTTGACGAGAGGTCGAGGCGCAGCTCCTCGTTTGGGGTGGACAAGCAGCCTCCCCATCCTTCCATGGCCCACCGCCCGAGCCTGCCTTTTCTGAACGGCCACACGCAGAACATGTCCATCTCGGCCATCTCGATCGACTCGCAGTCTTCGTTTGGGGGTTATGCGCCCTCGACGTATGCGCAGTCGACGATTGCTGCCTCGACCATCATGCCCAACATGATGGTGCAGCCGGTTAAAAATACGGAGAATACCGTCTGGGTGGAGGGACACTGCTTCAACTGGGAGCCGACGGAGACGGGGTCTACGTGCACGGTGTGCGACGAGAGGTCGGAGGGGGATGGGCTGTATAAATGCAACGGGTGTGACTGTTTGAGTCACAACAGGTGCTTGGGGTTTGTGAGCCTGGTGTGCCCGGAGGCGTTCCATCCGGACAGGGTGAGGGCCGCGTTTGTGAGGTGTCTGGCTAGTTTGCTGTATACGTACCGGAAGCATTTGGGGAGGCCGACGAGGGAGCAGAAGGGGCACGGGCAGTTGTATGCGTTTGATATGGATGGGTTTGTTAGGAGTTTGCCGTATGATCAGCAGGAGTATGCTACTATGATGAGGGACACGCAGGGTATGTTTCTCCCCCCCCCCCCCCCTTTCTAAGGGTGTCAAGACAAAACTGACGAAGTGTAGCATTCAACGAATTCATCCACGAGCGCGAGAGACAACCGCAATCGGACCCAGCGATTCGCCTCTTTGACGAGGTCATTCTGGCCAAGAAGGCGAGGGGGAAGCCGACGTTTTCTGCTGGCCTGTCCCGTCTGTCCACCTTGAGGGCATCTCATGGGTTAACGCCCTCTTACATGGGCGGGGGACATAACCGTCAGGGAGCGAAAGTGCCGAGTTATTTGGGGGACACGAGCGATCATATCTGGAGGACGGCGTCGGTGCCGGTGCCGAGCGCGAAGTTTTCGGGGGATTACAGGAGTGTGGTCACGAGGGTGCCGGTGAGGTTGGATCCGGGCTTGATGAAGGAGCCT